TCATCTGCTAGATTTAGTAAGGATGGTAAAGATCTTATTTGGGCCGATTATGGGCCTCATTATGTTAAGGTTAGGAAGGCCTGTACTTTGGAACTTTTTACCCAGAAAAGACTTGAGGCCCTTAGGCCCATTAGAGAAGATGAAGTTACAGCTATGATTGAATCTCTCTTCAACGATTGCACTAAACCTGGTATGTTTCTCTGAATTTTTTTTTTTCTGGAATTATATTTCGAATATTTTTCTGATTTTTTTAGTTGCGATGTTTTTAGTTTCAGACGTCCGTTAAAATATAACTTTAACCATTAATTTATATAACTCGGTCATTATCTGAAATATTCATAAACATTTTAATGATTACAAATGATGTGTAAAAATGTTAATTGTACACATCTGTTTTTTTTGGTGATTTAAATGATTTTAGGGAAATTTTAGGTAGGTTGAAGTATATATGCATCATATTTTTTTATGGATGTAAAATACTTTTATTTGCTTTAGGAAATCGAAAGAATAATTTGATGAACATTAAATAGTTTTATCTGAATTTATGGTGGATAAATAATTTGTGTGCAAGAAATGAGCATTTGGATGAAATGTGGACCATGGCTTAAAAAAAAAAAAGGTTTTATCCTGCAATTAGCATTTTTTTTTTCTTTTTTAAGTGCAAGCATTTTGGAAGAATGCTTTTAGTGTATATATATATTATGTATAAATGTGGCGCATATCTAAAAATTGATAAGACAAAGACACACAAGGGAAGCTGTATTTGAACGCAACCTCTAGGGAAATAATGGTGCATCCAATTACACGGGTTGCAATCGTTGTATAGAAAATCTTCGTTCTAATCCGATGTTGGCGGGATATTAGATTTAAAAAAAAGTACTGTAGATAAAGTAAGAGCGATAGTATTACCTAAGTGAGTCATGTAAAATAGCTAGAGAAAAAGGAGTTGCTAGTTTTTAATGTTGCTTAAAATGGTTGTGAATCCTTGTGAAATTGTTTGAATGTGCGGCACCAGCAATTTTCTTAGATTAAGCTAACCGGCAAAATTGAAGGGCCCATTCAAAAGTCAGGTTTCAAGTGTTTGATCATTTAATGATCTTTCCATTCACAACATCAAAATTGGCGGGCGACTGACCTGGCTTCTTTTCTTGTCAGACTTTATTTTCAGTTTTTCTTTTACTGAAAACATAGTATGAAAAATATGTTCAATCAAAAATTAATGCAAAGTACCTTTTACATTTAGATTAATATACTGTTAATGACGATATTAGCGTGCGTGACTACTAATATAAGTAATATTGGAGGGAGGGACTACTTTTTCTTTTGACTTGAGTCTTACGATTTAGATACTTTTTCTTTCTATTTTTTCAATTACATAAAATCCTGGAGAATTAACCATAGGACAGCATAAAATTGTGGTGGGGGAGGAGCTTTTAGACAATTTGTTTTTTATTTAATTATATGTTGATTATAAACTCTTGGAAATAAATATGACAACATGCCACCGCAAACATGTGACACCACATCCTATATGGAATCATATCATTTTCTAGGTGAAGCACAAGAGTTATTGGCTGAAAATGTACCAAAAATATCCACTTTTGATAATGAAATTTCATGTAAGAGGAGCAACAAAATGATTAAATGATATCGAGCACTTGGCTTAGAATAAGTATTGGTGCATAGGCCCTATATATTTCACTTGCAAATAGGATGACATTTTTGTAAATAATGGAAATCTGTGAAAATCGGTGGTAGAAAATATGATAACAAAAAGTACCATTACATGCATAATAGTACATAACAGTACACAAAAATGTACCACTGTATCATTAAAAGAGAGAAAATGTACCATCGAATTGCCCTCTTATATGCATGCAAAATACATAGGCCCTATGCGCCTATATGCATCCTTGGCTTATACTAGTCCTAAGTTCCTAACATGACCCGCCGACGAACCCCACACTTGCAAATATTCCCTATGCCAGCTACGTACTTTGCGGGTCAGCTAATTTGTTGATTAGTTAATAGTTAAATATTTAATTAGATCTTTGTTTAGTTTTAAATTTTTATCATTTTTGTACCGCGTATAGATATGTGGTAGGAATATTATATAGAACTCGATAATTCTTTAACAATGACGGTACACTATTTTACATATCACACGCATCTGAGCTTATAATCCGCATTTGAGAAATTTGATATACGGGGTAGTACAATTTTATCCGAGATAAGATAACTCAAATTTGACCTAGATTTTACTTGACCTATACAACTTTACCCGAGATAACAACAACTCGATATTAACCTAGACCAAATCGGTATTAAGTTACGAGTAGTTGATAAGAGAGTATGATCGAAAATGTGCTGAAACCTGCAATTTATAAGGTGAAACTTGATTGAACTACTTACAAATAATTAATATAGGATTCTGTCTAAATAAATAAATTAATATAGGATGGTATAGCACGTTAAGAGTACAATATTTCAATAATTATAGTGATAATTATGAGCCATGTGCATTGTACTAATTATTAATCTCATCTTACCTGTTTATTTTTGTGGTACAAACTTAATAGTTTGTCACAAATCTCACAATGATGAAATTTGGGCATGTGAAAGTTAGTGGGCAAACACCTTTTCAAGTGTCGTCTTCTTGATTAGAAAATTGAATACTTGACGTCTTCTTTAATTTATCTATATACCAATAGCCATTCCACAACGTTAAGAGTACTGTTTTCGCTTTAATAGTTCTTATACAAAGTACTAGCTTCTCCCTCTGTTTCATAATGTAATGTTTTCTTTAACTAGTGATCGTCAAATGTGGGTTGAACCTCTTAGTTTGACACGAGCGCATATTTAGACTTTGGTTGGCTTGACTCGGCCCATATTTACTAGGCTAGACACACTGGGTTAAGTCGAGCATATTGAACCATATAAGCCGACTTTTGGGTTGGAGTAGATCAAAGATTGGTATGTATACCTTGCTTTATTTTTCCGTGGAAGGTACTGCTTTATTTAGTTAGGTGAACTATCTTTTTAGCCTCATTTGATTTTGATTTTAGCTAATTGAACAAAACTATTCAATTTGACTATAAAACAATTGCTTGATTACCAACACATCACCTAAACCTCATGACTAATCCCTAGCTAAAAGACATCCATATACCCCGTTTGAAAATCGGTGAAGATTAAAGAAAATTTGACATGATTTTCACATTTGTGCACGAGTTTACCAATTGACACCCCGTATTGGTTGTGTGTGGTTTATACTGCGACTAAAATATTGTGAATGAGAGTGAGGAATAACTCAGTTGGTTAGAATTTCCCTCCCGGTTCCAGGTTATAAAAAGGCGTTGTGAATGTTAACTTGCAGACCACATCAATTGCAACTTTCACGGCTGTTTATTACATGAAGTTTTATTATAGTTTAACAAATTTTGATACTAAACACATGATCTTTTGTTCGTGCAGACAACAAAGGAAAGCCCCTTAAAGTAAGGCGATACATAGGGACAGTGTCGTTTAACAACATCACAAGGCTAACTTTTGGGAAGAGGTTTATAAATGATAAGGGAGAATTGGATCCCCTAGGAAAGGAATTCAAGGGTATATTATCTAGTGGGTTCAAAAGTAGCAAGACAAGCTTCTTGGCTGAGCACCTACCGTGGCTAAGATGGCTGTTGGTGCCTCTCGATAAAGAAAAGGGTGAGGCTGCTGTGCACAATGCTCGGTTGGATCGTTTCACTCGAGAAATCATGGAGGAGCATGCTAAAGCCAAGTCGCAAAACATTGGTGGTGTAAAGCAACACTTTGTCGATGCCCTGCTTGGCCTCAAGGATGAGTATGATCTTAGTGAAGACACCGTGATTGGGCTTCTTTGGGTACTTATGCATTCTTTGATAACATTTATAAGATTTCGATTTTTAAGCTTACACATTACCGTAGCTAAGATGTCCGTTCTTTTGATTTGGTGCAGGACATGGTCATTGCTGGAATGGACACAGTTTCAATCTCAGTTGAGTGGGCCTTGGCAGAGCTAATAAAGAACCCAAGAGTACAAAAGAAGGCTCAAGAAGAGCTAGACCGGGTTATTGGGCAGGATAGAATCATGACCGAAGAAGATTTCTCGAACCTTCCCTACTTACAAGCTCTAGCCAAGGAGTCCCTAAGGCTTCATCCTCCTACCCCTCTTATGTTGCCCCATAAGGCCAAAGCTCATGTCAAGATTGGTGGGTATGACGTTCCTAAGGGCTCTATTGTCTACGTAAATGTGTGGGGTTTGGGTCGTGATCCCAATGCTTGGCGCGATCCTCAAGAATTCCGGCCTGAAAGGTTCTTTGAAGAGGATATCGACATGAAGGGTCATGATTTCCGGTTACTACCCTTTGGTGCAGGTAGACGTATCTGCCCGGGAACACAACTAGGCATAAATTTGGTCACATCAATGTTGGGTCATCTTTTGCATCATTTCGATTGGAAACCGCCAAATGATGAAGAAATTGAAATGAAGGAAGCCCCAGGAATTGTCACCTACATGAGCACCCCTCTACAAGCTATATTTTCTCCAAGGTTACCCGCGGAGCACTTGTATAAACGTGTACCCGTCGATGTGTAATTTTCGTAGCATTTGTAGTTTGCATACCCGAGTTGATCAAAAAAAGGAAGGAAAAAAATAATGCAAGGCCACTATATATTTTTGTATTTTTACCATGTGTAGTTTCTGTGTACAAGAGAAACAGGAGTTGAAGTAACTCTATCACACATCCACCATGTTTTTATCACCTTGTTATGGTATACTTCCAAGTGGTTTAGTGCATCACATTTGCCGGAAATTTTTTATACAACGGTTGCACCACATTCAATCTTATGCTTGGGATATTATACTTGTTAACAGTGATTTCTACTTTTTCAAACTCAATTGAATTCAAGAAACGCTATTGAACGAATACTCTTTTTGGTACACTTCTAATCACCATCATACTTCTTGCAAAAGCTGTAAACAATTTCTGCTGCTGCGGCTTGAGTAATTAGCGCGCAAAACAGTAAGCTATAGTTTAACACAAATAAAACCTGCATAAAGCACCTGTGCCATACTAGAGATATACATGACCTGTCATAAGGAAAGGACACGGTACACAAAAGTCGGAGTATAGTTAATTACAGGCAACTTAAAGTTAACAGAACCAAAGTTTCCAAATCCAAATCCCAAAAAAGCTAGAAGTTTATAATTGTTTCTCCTTAAGCTTTACTAGATTATAAACATAGTGTTAGCATTCCGGGAATGACAGCCGATCGAAGAACAAACTTGAGACTGCAGGTTTAAGGCTTGAACCTGAGGAGCTTCAGTCATGACCTGCATAATATTGGAATCACATGAAAAGATTAATGAACAACAACATAGCACATATCAAAACATGCTGATGTTTAAATGTTTGAATTCACGAATGAAAAATTATCAAATACATGTCGGATGGTTTTCTGAGTTTGGCCTGTCTAAAAAGGAACAGGCATCGTTCCTCGTTCTAGCAAGGGGTAGACCGGTACCTGAGAAGGCCAGTGAGTGACTATCGCTTTACACATGATTACATCAAAAGGATCCTCATGAACCTTAGAGCCTATTTAAAGGTGATCTTGTATGAGGGCAATGCAACCTAGTATAAAAGGTATAGTACACCCCTCCCACATAACATCGATCAAACAAAACATAAAGATCAAGTCTATATAACTGTTAACCATCAAAGATGAGGTTATGAAACTATACCGATGGACAAAGACATAGCCATGGACTCAGCAATTGACATGAACTCAGAAAATTCAAAACCAGCCATAGACATACTCCGAGGGATCTCTTGTAATGCTAGTTCCATCAAATTTGCCCAGCTGCTCCAGTAGTATGAATTTTCCCTGATGATAACTGCAAAAGTGAACGAAAATGATCATAGTTGCTCAACTGCATCAAAGCCAATCACGATAATAAATTCAGATACTACTCAGTATTATTGAAGCTACAAGAAGCAGACAGACAGATAGGAGCTTTTGCATGTAATTGACTACACTATTGGCACTACAAACCCGATGTTATCATTGTTAAAATTGATCAGTTCTGATGTTGTTTAACCTTGTTTAGAGCTATAGTAAATACGTACTCTATGTGAGATCTGAAAATGCAGCACAGAGCTAATTTAAGAGGACTGATGTCCACTGTTGAAAAGAGGTCTTTGAAAGCCATATTATACATATAAAACAAATAAAGCATCTTTTAGATAATTTGTCAACTTATTCAAGACAAGAGAAGGACAAAGGACAAGGAATGAACTTACATATTACAATGTCAACTTTAATCCATTGAAGATAGTTAATAGAAGTACGAGAGTAGGACAAAGGATGAGGAATCAAGACACTCCATTTCACTGTCAAATGGTAATCTTGATGTAACCATGTAAAATTTATATAACCATTCCGGCCATTTCAAAATAATTGGAACGAAAGTTAAACCAAACCCTAAGAGATAATCAGATCTTCAATCCTAGGCTGCCCGAGACCAGTTGGAGGTGGTGACATTGTGCACTCAAAAAAGACAATTTAAAATAAAAAAGATAAGCTGAGTCATAAATTGGACAATGATAAATATTATGCAGAACAAAAACAATATGATTTTGTGATACAAGGTTGTTTTAGGGGTCAAATAGAAGCAATAGAGCTATAAATTTTTTAGTAATCATATAATATAAAAATATGAGATATAAGGACATTTTAGAGATATAAGGTATGTGCAAATTGTACGAAACAAATCAAGAGTCTGAGTGAAAATCCCCAGTGATAGTTTTGCTAAAAGCAAGGAATTAAGGACTTACACAGAGTTAATAGGTTGTCCAGCAGACTGGTCTTTTTCACCTACACTGCTTCCGTCAACCTCTATTTCTGCCATGTCCAGCATGCCATTGGAGAAAACCGTTTCAAATCTATAGACAGAACAATATTGCAACAGAATGTCATAAATTTTTCCAAACTTGAGGCTAATAGCAACCAGACTAGAATGACCTATGGTTATGTGAGTTAAGAATCAATGGTCGTATTATGCACTGCCACTTAATAGACCCAACAAAATTGTATTGTAAACTTGTCACAGAAAACAATACACCAGGAAAATCATAGCATCCAGTCTAAAAAATATATTTTTAAACTTACTTCTTCTCTCTAGCCTTACCACAAGTACCTACACCTTTCTTTCTGTCCAGCAGAATGAGACTCTCCGTAAATGAACAGGTGAACCAGGAGCGCCAACACCCACGAACACCAAGCCCCTTAGTCCTTTTCATCAGTGGATCATAGGACACTAGCTCTCCTTTCTTAGAAAACCCCAACACATCCCCATTTTTCCTCAAGCACTGAACCCAGCCTAAACCAGCACTTGAACTGATGTCAATACTAACCACTTTGCTCCATGAGCTCCCCACTGTATAGTCTCCCTTGACCCAGATCTCACAGCGTTCCATTTCATTCCCTACAGCGCCTCCTTTGAGCACAGAATGAAGTACCGACAACTTGGAGCAATACTCTGCAACACTCAGATTTAATGTGCATACTTTGGCAAGAGCATCAGGAAATTTCATCTTCTTGAACTTCTCTTCCTCCACATCAAAAATCAGAAACCAGTTTCTGCTGAAAGCAAGAGTACTAGCATCCCTCTCCCAAGCAACCCAGTGAACAGTGCGATTGAGAAAACATTGAGACCACCAGTAGTCACATATGCAAATATTAACCAGACTGTCAGCAGACACGTACCTCCATTTACCTTCCTTAACCGAATACAGCTCAACAATAGGAGGAGTCACGTCATACACAGCATTTTTTTCGCGCATGTAGCTTATTCTCACCACCTTGTGAGAAGCCTTCCTAGTATCATACCCAAAGCCAAAAGAAGATATGTGGGCACCCTTAACAACATAATTCACTCTTGGCACAGGAAGTCTGATGTATTTGCGAAGCAAGGGATTCCAAAGGATCATAAGGTAGGTGTACCCAAACAGATCATCAGAGAGACATATCAGACCATTAACAGAACCAACCACACGGAAATATTTCCCGACATCTCCAGTCACAAAGGGGCAAGTTAAGGTGTAGCAAGGCTCAAGGTCTGATTCTTTTTGGGATGAATCGAGCATAAACATGTACTCTTCATTTTTCTTGGGAGCATTTGTGAATTGCCTATACAAGAGAAGAGAACTACCCTCGACTTGAGAGGAATTCTCGGTGTGGGCAGCCACAAACGAAGAGGAAGTAATGAGAGTGTTCCAGGGTTTGCGCACACACAGACATTGGCCTAGAGTTTTCACTGGCAGTTTTTTCCAAATTATGAACCAGATTTCTTGAGGGATATTAAGGGTTTTTTCATCAGACATTTTTGACAAAGAGCAATGAACTTGACTAACAATTGTTTCAGACCTCCTCTAATATCAGGCTAATTCTGTTATCCTGAAATCAATGGCATGTATTTTAACTATATAACCATGCAATTAAATATTACTAGTACAAAGATTATACCATACTTAATTCAAACTATTTGAATACAGCACACATAAACATGAATTGCAAGGGATTTTGTTTAGATTTTTTTCCCTTCAAAAAAATGGATACCCAGATCAAAATAACAAATTTAATAGTAAGAACTTACAATGTACATGAAATCTGGGTATGAATTTATAAAAATATTTATAAGTAAAGATCTGGGTATGGGTTGAATAAAATGCAGTAATTAAATATATAAATCTAGCAAAAAAAAATTTTTGACGGGATATAAATCAGCAATTTTTTTACAAAAATAAAAAAAATAAAAAAAGGGACCCTTTTCAACAAATTCACAGTATATTTATTACCAAAAACATGAACATAAGTACGTAGTACATAGCAAAAAATTATAAAACAAAACAAAATTTCAAAATAGCGGAATAAATATTCTGGAAAGTTAAAAAAAATAATTTAAAAAACCCTTAAATATGAGCTATAACCGCCAAATAGTACAGAATCTGGAAAAATGTGGGTTAAAGTTACTAAAAACATAATTTCAGTCCGTCAAGAACAACAATCAAGCAGGTTTACATACTTTCGCCAAAAACAGAGCATAAACACAAAATCCAAACTATAAGAAAAAATTTAAAATTTCAAACTCAAATATTTTGTACAAAACTATTTTCAGCTTAACAATATAGAAGGAGCAATTACATAAATCAAACAGCTGGAAAACTCTATGAAACATGAATTAAAAAAAATGGTAAAATTTCTCCAACATTTCAAAATTTGGGTTGGAGAGAGTAAAGTGGTTAAGAGAGAGATACCTTCAGCTTGATTTTATGGAGTGTTTTTGGAGCTCTTCACTGATGAATGAGAAAAACTGCAGATTTATCAGCATTAGAAAATAGAAACACACAAAAATGAAAATACAACCAAGAAAAAATGGATTTCTTATATATTAATTAAAAGAGTAATTTTTTATATATTTTTTTCTTACAGTAGTTTTGGTTGCCTTGGAGCCCAATCATGTGGGTGTACAGTGTGGTGCAGTACTGTATAACTGTGGTCTGCAACTCTTAACAAAAAAGGAGAAAGATGGAAATGGCAAGGAGTGTGTGTCTTGCTAAAAGACGAAAACAAATAACGATTCTTTTTTTGGCTTGGGTAGTTGGCTACGTTTGAGAAGAGGTATTTTAGTAGGGGTGGTAAGGATATCAATAGCGGATACATTTGTGAACAACTCGCGGATAAGCTCGATTTGATAGCTACTTCCTTCGTGTTTAAGTATATTACTCGTTTCGAATTTTATGAAATTTTTAAGAAGGCTAGTTGAATTTATTAAAATAATAAGAATTGAAGTATAAGTTCAGAGAAAAAGAGGGTAAAGGATTTTGTGGGACCATTAATTGGTGGAATGTTATTAAAAAATATAGAAAATATTATTAAAAAATAAAGAGAAATTACCAAATAATGAAACGTTTTATTTATTTAAATACGGTCGCAAAAGAAATTTGTTTCATTTATGTAAACACGGGGGGAATATAATGGAAATTTTTCTATTTTAATTTTTTGATTTGGTTGGATGATATACAAAAAAAATTGTAATAATTATGATCATATTCATACTCCCTATATTTCCTTAATTTACACTTGTTTTTTCATGGAGTAGAGGTTAAAGTAACATGTAAAAAGTATTGTTTGTGAGAGAAAAAGTGGTGAAGAGCTTTTATAATCAACCAACGTAAGACTAAATGGGAGGTGATAGATATCGGTAACTTAAAGTCACAAGGGGAGTCCCCAACCCCCACCCCCCACCACCCCTCGGCGCCAACTTGCAAAAATTTCGAGTACCCAAAATATGAGCCAATTACAGGTTTGTTGAGGCTTTAAAATCATAATTAGATTCGATTGTTCTAATACCGAATAATAAAACCAAGAATCGATTATAATAGATTCCAATCTGCATTTTTTTAAAACCGGAACAGGTACTGATTGGTTACCCGATTATCCAACAAATTTTAATATATACTCGTGTAATTTTTTATTTTTTTTAATAAAGTATGTTGAATGTATGTAGTTAATAATATTAAAATAACATTATTAAAACCTAAACAAAAGTAAAATAACCTCAAACTTGAAAAGGAAAGTCCAACTATAAATATTAAAATTTGTATTTTTTTTTATAACAATTATATGAATTATAATCTTAGACTGGCTCTGATACCAAGTTCTGAATTTATAGATACCGATACCAAGACCCTAGGCAAATTTTGAATCGGGTCCCTATAATAAATCACTTAATTCGTCGAGGAAAATAAAGTGCCTTCATTTTAGTATTTGGATCATCCGATTCAACTCGACCATGTTAATAATGTCCAAGGGATCATCCGATAAAATTCCCCATATAACATGATACCGGATTATAGCCTTATGGGGGCTTTTCTTTGATCAGAGTCGTTTTTGCATATACCAAGTACTAACTGCTGAAAACTCAGTTTTTCACCAAAAATAAATAAATAAATAAAACTGAACAAAACTGAAGGGAAAAGCCACTTAAAGCAGTGAATAAATTATCGAGCTACTAGAGTACAGAGGGCTATTGCAAAAATGCCCTGTTGTATTACTTACAGGTAGAAAATAAGAGCAAATTTATCTATTTTTCCTAGAATACCATTCTCTAATGCTAGAAAGCACAAGTGTCGCTCTAACTGATACAGTCCTCCATCTGAAGATGGTGTAATGGAAGCAAACGTTTAATGAGTAGGAAACAGTTATGAAACTCACCGCTTCAGTGTTCAAGGAAATACTCCCAAATAAATCTGGATGGAAAAGGTAAAACTTGTAGCATGATATGCCAATAAATCTTCTGTCTATGTCATGTGTAGAGATATATCTAGTCTTCTGATGTTTTGCGTGCTCTCTTGCTTAGTTTATCCTGTTGACGGTATCTTTCTCGTCGTTCCTCTCTCTGCCGTTTTCTTGACACAACTTCTTCTTTTGCCTTCTGAGCCTCCAACTTTTTTCTCTTTTCTTCATCCTTTTGTTTTCTCTTTTTTTCCTGCACACCAACAAACATCACAAATCAGGAATGTTTCAGCATCATAGATTAATGTTGCCAAACCTTTTCTTACTAGCTCAGTAACTTCAAGTCCATATGGCCATACGTCATCGTACCAGAAATACTAAATTCAGTTTATCATTGACAACTTTAGTATGCTAAAAATACTCTAACATCTGCAGTTTATCATTGACCAACCAATGTCACAAATACAGACCTTGTGCCCATTCATAAAGATTACTATGGCCAGCAATGCAAACACAAACATGGGAACAGTCATTATTTTCCTATGTAAATTTAGGTCAATAGACCAATCCTTTGGCAAACATCTACACAATGCTTGGAGCTAGGCGAAGGAATACCAAACTGTAGTTATCCATAAATTCAAACTATGGACAAGACCATTCTTAAAAATGACCAAAATTACTGCTGCTGAAAGTCCAAGAAGAGTAAATTAAAAGGATAAAACATTTATAGCTCATATTAGATTGAATAATGCATCAGCACAAAACGATGCAAAACTCTACAAGCATGTGTAATACTGTCATGGCCATCAATGTAAAGCATACCTTACTGTGACGAATCAGCTGATAATGTTGAACCAGCTTTAGGGTTTTCTTCTCATCAGGTTCTGCGATAACAGGTCTCCTATCTTTAAGAAGTCCATTAACTCTTTTAGGAATATCTTTGGGCTTTGTTTTAAACGGGAGTGCTTGTTGCAGAGACTTGGGAATGATCAGTGGATTGAATTTTTTCGGTTGTCTCTCAATTGGCTGTCAAAAATATACAAAAACACGTGAAAATTCTAATTAGATACACGCATACAACCAAATATAAAAAGATTGTACAAGAAATTCTTGAAGCTAGAAGGAAGAAAAAAAAAACTGTGTGGTTACCCTACCTTGTACAGAGAATCCTTATTGACAGGAACTGGAAGAGCCAGTTCTTTCCTCAATTCTGCAACGGTTTTCATTCCTTTCCAAGCTCGATCACGAGATTGCAAAGCCGTTGTCAATGGATTAAAAAATTTTGGAACGTCCACATTAACCCATGTTATGAAGAACACTACATCACTCATAAGGATCTTGTCCTCAAATGTGCACCTTGCAATCCCTCCCTTTGACGGGATGTCATCTTTATTTGATTTATTGCCAATCACTTCTTTTGCAGCCTGCCAAATCATACAGCCTCTCACATCAGAAGAACTGCCCATGCACAATTTTATGTCAAATTTAACCTCAATTAAGAGGCGCCAACTATCACACAACAGTATTCCATTAATATTATGTCTGCCTTTGCTGGTTCCAGGAGATTGTTCTCCTGCCCCCATCCCAGTTCCTGAACCCGTCCAGCTTTGTTAAGAATCAAAAAGAATATTGAGTGGTGGAAATAGGAATAAAACAATCAATGAGAAATATAAAGTAGAAGATGCGAAGTTCAATTTCATTTTATGCCTTACTAGTTATAACATTGCAGGCAGCTCCACAATAAATATAAAAGAAATAGCTAAAGCCCAACTAAACAAGAAAAGAAACTCAATTGTTAACTACTACAAAGACTAATATCTACCGCAATTTTCTTAAGTTTATTCCTCATTCCCTTACCTTTTTTACTTGTCCACGAATTCCACTGACAGTTCGAATTGCTACACCTTCATATTTGGCTATTTCAAGATCTGAAGTAAACATATTTTTTATATATGCTGTTTTCTTGTAGATCTTGCAAGGTTCACCAGTAAACTTTATTTTCTTCTTTATCTGGGCGGCATGGTTGAACTCTAATACAACAGCAGTTGCTGTGATTCTAAATGATGACTGAGAAATTTCATAAAACAAGGAGAAGAAATTAGAGCACGAAATAAATAATAAACATCATCAAGCAACAACTTCATTACATTATTCCAATCAATTAGACATTACTAACAATTTTCATCGTAATGCAAGATGAATCAATGACCTCACCAACAAAGAAAAACCATAACCAGAAAGCTGCTCAAGTCTCAAAGAAACTCTGTGTAAAACCACACAGGCACAATAAAAGGAGCACAAAAGGGATTAATCATAATCATCTCCAGCAATTCTACCCTAAATTTCTTATTGATTTAAAATCGTTACAGGGTGGCTGAGAAGTTGTTTGAGAACTTTAATAGACCTGATAAAGATATTTCTGATGCTGCTACACTTAATTTTGAAAGCAATTTTCTTTTCAAATTGAATGATTAAAACAATGATTATGCCAAAAACAAAGCAATGAGAGCAATGAAGTGTCACTGTATTGCCATCCCTGCAATATGGGATTCAACATTGGATTGTGGTAATAATCCTACTTTTACGGAACTAATTTTACTTCATTCGAATTTGGCGGGTTGAGCGTTATAATTACACAATTTGAAACAAGATATTGATTGTGGTTCATTAATTTTGGGGATTTATGAGAGAAACGTGAAGGCTCATTTTAGGAGAGGATGAGCTATAGCTTAATTGGGGAATTTGAAGGAAGCTTATGGTGATTTCATGAAAGCAAGGGGATTGGAAGCTTGGAAACTAGCAAAGAGAAAGAGGACTATCAAATTAGGAATAGCACTAAGCCACTAACAGGGTTAGAGAGTTTGGAATGAGCTGGGGGATAGGGATAGAGAATTCATTATTTATATCTTGTTCGGCATGATAGTAGAAATAAATTGAGGATAAAACAACATATTTACTATATTCAATCAATCAAAGCCTTAACAACATATTTACTATATTGACCTTTTTAAAATTGTACAATCTAATCTAATTATATATATATATATATATATATATATATATATACAAAACTCATCCTCTCTAACAACTATTGTCCAAAACCTCCACCATTTTCATGTGTAAAGTATAAAGCTAGATTACGTATTTGTAACATTACTACTTCAAATATTTAGTTTTTCAATACAGATTATTTTTTTGAAAAAAATGTTGCGCTTAAGTGTAGAGGCACTAATTGATCACGAGCTGAGGGGCTCGACTGGACTCAAAAACTTTTTACATGTGATCGCTACTCACTAAGCTCAAAAAGGCCATAAAAGTTTGGAGTCGAGGCTAGTCGAATAGCTCACGATTTGCTCATTAAAGTTTTGGTCCTTCTGGAATTCTAAGATTTTATTTTAATTTTCTTCCCTTTATATAAGTTTTTTTTTTTTTTTTTGTAAGCGTCAATTCCTTTGTCTTTAAATTGTATATCAATAAAATATATTATCGAGTTACTCAAAAGCTTAAAGCAACTCGTGCTCATACACATTTCAAGTGGTATCAAACAACTATTCTTTATGTCTTAGATACTTAAGAGTCTTAGACATAAACAATGGGTCAATTTGCACCATAAAATATGTAAAAAAAATGGGTAACATCTAAACCCATACCAAATTACTTTTTAAAAAAAAAAAGAATTAAAAAAAATTATGAAATCGGTGGCCAAACAATCTACGAAGTATTAACTAATCAGGAAAGCTACTTTTAAGAATTAGAAACGGTTTTCTAAAAGTTTGGCCAAACAGAACCTTAGACTCTGATTTGTTCGACTAATTTCACGGATAAGCTCGAACAAAATAAGTTCATACAAAATAAATTTATTGTAGACAATTTAATACAAACTAAGTTTCTTAAGACAATTTCATTCACGAACAAAAGAAGTTAAAAAAAAAATGAGTTCAAATAAAATAAGTCAAATCTAATATATATAAATAAAGTAGACATTTTTGGAGAGCATTCGGAGCGCCACATAAGAAATATACTTATTTCGACTAATAAGAAAAAAGATTTGTATTTTATTTTTGAATTAAAAAATTATTTCGCCACCTAGATAAAAGTAACGAATTAGATTTGATATATCTAAAATTTTAATGCCATGTAAATTATAATCCACGAATTAAATTATTTTAATGGACAAAAAATAAAGTAAAAATATAGGAAAAGATAAATTTATTAATTTAATACTACGTGTATAAGAAATCCAAAAAAAATATACTAAAAATTATTTAAATGATAA